CGCATCCCAAGCACAGCCCTTGTAAGGGGAGAGGGGCATACTACAGCATCGCCTGCTGTAGTATTTTTATATATTTTTATCTTTGACAGACAACTTCAAACAAGGCTCCCCCCATTCAGGGTAGGGTTTGAAAGTTTGAAGTGGTTGAAGAACAAGAGAGCGTGAGCGAGTGTGAAGACAGGATCCTGCAGCACAATGTGCAGTGGGAATTAGGACTCTACATTCTGGTGGTTTCTCGCTTGTTGCCGCTTGAGACGTGGGGTGGTGTTTGCGAAAGGAGCACAGCCATTCTTCTTTCAAAGGCTCGTGTGGACGGGCAGTCGGAGAAGACAGCCTTGCTGAGTGTCGAGCGCTCGAGGGCAGGGGTTTGACGCGATTACATTCCAGAGCTTGTCGTTGACCTGGAACGGGTTGCCTGCACAGCATGTAGCGTGCACTACGAGACGCTCGTTTGTCGGGTTCGGTAAGCTGTCGCTTCTCTGCTTCAGCCTTGCCTTTGCACTTACTGCCGCATGCGGTCTCCAGTGATTCGAGCAGGTTAACCCACTGCTACCGAGGAAGAGATGGTCCAAAAGGGCAAGTCGGAGATCGAATCCGAGAAGACCCAGTGCCTCAACCACAAATCGGACATGGAAGGATGTTCTATAATTTCCCGTGTCTTTTGCTTGTGTGTAATGCATCTGAGGTTTGCCGAGTATGTCAAGTTCTGCGCTCTGGCCTCAGGACACCGACAGAAGGCAACCAGGAGCCTAGTGGCCCAGGAGCTGTAATGGTAGAATGCCGAGTGGCCGGCGGCCCCAGTGATTGAGTCATGATGCATGAGGAAGATACCACCTCCGAGAAGAAGACTGCCATTGAAGAGGCTGATGCGCGGGTCGAAAGCGTGACCGCATCTATTGACAAGGCTGGTCAAAGGCTTTCAAGTCTCAGTGTCTGCGGGGCGTTTGCATGCATTTGGTAGGCCTCCTCGGACCTGGACCAGCTTACCACCGAGATTGCCGAACTGGACAACATCATTGCTTCTACCAGCGCGGCCGGAGCCCCATGGGAAGTTCAAAATTCGATCTGAAAGTGAGCATGCATGGTTTGGGAGCGCTGCAGGAGAAGGCAAATGCCACGACCATTCGTCAGAAGGAGGCGCCCAGTCCGGTAGTAGCAGCAGGAGTAGGAGTGATAGCAGCAGCAGCAGCAGAAAGCTATGCCTCGATATTTGTCAACCACTGTTGGCAATGCAGGAGCAGGCGTGTGCTCTCGTTCATGCCGCATGTACGCCAGGCCGCAGATTACACAGCGACTCTCACGGACTACGTCGAAGCTTGGCTGTCATTTCTTCAGCAAATGCCGAGACCAATTGATATGCAGTTTTCGCCGAGGACTCCATAACCGCCATGGGCAAGGCTCTGACTGCACTGAAGGACGATGGCAAACCTCAAAGACGGAGAGAGAGCCCAAGAAGAGCCGATGTGTTAACATCGCCAATAGCTCCACATTCAACGTGCTCACGTTTTTGCAGTATGTTGGGCTCAACGGCTGGGGAAAGCTAGCATGTGCTTGCCCGTCCTGTGTGCAGGAACAGCCCAAAACGCGTCCGCAGACCACTTCTCTGGTGCAACTGTCAGATCTTTACCAGGCAAGGCCACTCGCCATGGCTTAATTGAGCGCTTTATTGAGCATACAGTGGTGCATCCTCTCTCTGCCTCCCCAGGGCTGACAGCGCATGGGTTGTAAAGACGTGGTTGATCCAAGGAAGCTGAGCCCCTCAGAGGCCTCCAAGTATTTGGATGCCTTCTTGACGGGCCACACCGCAGCCGGGCATGCAAGCAACCGCCTGCGGGTTTCAGCAGCATGTGAGCATGCAACATGCCCCCCCCCCCCCCCCCGCCCCCAAGTCTCCCGAGGCAGGCAAGACGGAGTCTCTTCTTTCCGAAGCACGGCTTGCCCAGCCAGCAGCCGGCTCAGCAGCCTTGGCCTCGCTGCGCTTGCCTCCCGAGCCGAGTGTCGTTTGACAGGAAAGCGGCTACGAGTTTCAATCCAATGGTGTCATTGAGATGCTCGAGAAGCTCGAGGTCCAGTTCAAGGAGGAGCGGTGAGCGGACCTTCTCGACAGCTTGAGACACTGTGACAGCACAGAACAGAAATACAGAGAACAGAGTCTTGCCAGGAGAAGAACTCGCTGAAGATGGAGGAGCAGAAGAAGAAGACTGCTTTCCAGAGCTTGGTCACCGGCCTGGACTCTGAAAACACAGACGCCACGAAGAGCAAGCAGAGCAAGCTGAAGGAAAAGGCGAGCATCTCAGAGCAGAAGGCCAAGGATGAGTCTGAGTTGGCGGACACCACTTCCACAAGGAAGGAGGATGCTAAGTACAAGAAGGATCTGGAGATGAGCTGGGAGGAGCGCGCGGCGGAGTTCAAGAGCCGTCAGAAGCTGCGTGCGGAGGAGCTGGAAGCTCTTGGTAAAGCCATCGAAATCATCTCGGGCGATGCCGTGACGGGCAGCGCCGGAAAGCATCTGCCAGGCTTGCTGCAAAGCGGCACAGCCATGGCGGTTGTGAGTGTCAACCGCTCTCTTCGAACACCGAGCTTCCGGAAGGTGGCAGGCTTAATTTGTGGGCCTTTATCGATTCAGTGTGTGATGCAGCCATTTGCACGATAATTTGGTTGTGTGGTAGGATAAAGCTTAGACTCAACCCTGAATGGGGAGCCGGGGATCTAAGTCATTCTCGACACAGATACAGGTAGTTACTGTCAGCAATGAGCACCAAGAACGTGAAAGCAGCATGCACGAGCACAAGCTGCATTTGCAAAGAATCCAATCCGGCTGTCTCTGGCAGATGCCAGCTTCATGCGGATGAACGTGTAAACTTGGTATGCGAACACAGACATCGAACAACGTTCGCGACACACCCTCTGACCCAAGCATTGTGTGGCACGGTAAATATCATGCATGCTCCAGGCCAACACCTTGTGGGGAACTACCACACTCCCACGCGTGACTCATGCCTGTCCTTGCGGCGTCCAACATCTTCCGAAGTCGCAGCTAGCCTGGACACTCTTGTGCCCAACCTAGGCGCCTCTTTCATTTTGTGGGGTGCCAGTCCACAGAGCACAGGCTTCCACAGCCTCGGTTCAGTGTCACGCAAATCACTTGCATGAGCAGTTGCAGTTGCACCGCCCCGTCAGCGTGTAGGATGCGACAAAGCTTGGACTCAAGTCTCAAGTCTCGTTGAGCTCGGGTAATTTGTGGTTAAGCTTGGCTCTTGTCGAGACGCGCGGCATGCGCGAGGGCTGCAAGGCGTTCTGAAGTGTACCGTGCGCAAAAGCCTCAGCTGTAACCTCGCAAAGCGTTCATGTACGCCTCCTTGGCTACTTGGAGACTCATGGAGAAGATGTCGAGGTCAACCATGAACGATCAACAATCACTTGGGGCTGGGTTGCTGCTGCTGGCAGCAACGTGCGCCAAGCGCCGGACTGCGGAAGCAGAGGCTGAGGGCCAAGTTGCCAAGGCTGCAGCTGATTTTGCGAATGCAGACCATGCTCCGACATAGGATGTAGTAGGCACAGCCACCTCACTGAATGCGGCAAGCCGTGCATGGAACGCTCCTCGAGCTGCGACATCTCAGTGCGCAGTGTGAAACGCAAGGGCATGTTGCCACAGGGCAGCCAAAAGGGTCAAGTCTTTTGCCCTTGAGCTCGCCATGTTTCGCTGCAAGCTCTTGTCCTCAACAGCCTGAGACTGCGGGACCCACAGATGAGGTGAGAGCTGAGAGGTGAGACGAGAGTGGTGTCCCAAGTGTGTCTGTTCGTCGTTCGTCTTGAGTCCAAAGAGCCGGGTGAAATTGTATCACTCAGGGTTTTTGTCGGAAGTAGAGGTTAGAAACAAGGCGTTGTTGCAAGCCGAGTGCTGAGGTGGCCGACTTTCTGCAGGAGAAGGCTGCTGCCCTGCACAGCCAGGAGCTTGCCGCCCTGGCCATGCGGCTTCAAGCCGACCCCATCGACAAGGTGAAGGAGATGATCGAGAACATGATCACCCGAATGGAGAAGGATGCCGCTGCCGAGGCAACCAAGAAAGCGTGGTGCCAGGAGGAGCTCAGCGAAAACGAGGAGGCTCGCGAAACGAAGAACGACGAGATCGAAGCCTTGGAGGCTGACGAAGCCAAGCTGAAGTCCTCGCTTCAGCAGCTCGCCGCAGACCTTCAGGGACTCAACCAGCAGGTGAAGGACATGAACGGCGCCATGACCGAGGCGACAAGCATTCGCCGGAAGGAGAAAGAGGAGAATACAGTAGCCATTAAGGACGCGAAAGCTGCCCAGGCAGCAGTAGCCGAAGCCCTCAGCGTGCTGAACGAATTTTACGCTAAGGCCGGGCAGGCGACGGCTCTTATTCAAGTGCAGGCTAAGGCAGGCCCGCAGCCCTTCGAGAAGCCCTACACTGGGATGGGTTCAGAGAGCGGCGGGGTGCTGGGTATGATCGAAGTGATCCAGTCTGACTTCGCCCGCCTTGAGGCTGAGACGACTGCTGCCGAGCAGTCCGCCGCCAAGGAGTATGAGTCCTTCATGGACGATTCAAAGCTTGACTTGGCCTCCAAAGAGAAGGATATCTCGCACAAGTCATCCCGAAAAGAGTCCGAGACTCAGGCCCTTACATCCGTTGGAACCGACCTGGCCAACGTGAAGAAAGAGCTCTCAGCTGTCATGAAGACTTACGAAGAGCTGAAGCCACAGTGTGCCGATGAGAGTGCTTCTTACGAAGAGCGAAAGGCGAAGCGTGATGCGGAGATCAAGTCCTTGGAGGAAGCCCTTCAGGCCTTGAGCATTGCCCGATAGTGGGAGTCCCGCCATGGCAAGACTGAGCACGACTTGAGCGTTCAAAACAGAGTGCCACGGCCGAAGTCTGCATGTCACAGCCTATATGGAACTTTCACACTGAGACTGCTGTCTGGGTGAGCCGGGTATGGGCTCAAGGCTCCATAGGGGTTGGCCCATCCCATAGCCTCAGTACAATGCAGTCTCTCCGCCTGCTCCTGGCGCTGGCCTCTGCCGCCCTCGCGCGTGCGCCTGAGTTTGGCCTTGGAGCACCCAGAAGGATGGGTGATGCTTTGTAGCGTCGCGCTGAGGTCGCAGGTGCAAGTGACTCCGGTGCAGAAGGTGGTCCAGCTGCTGGAGAACATGAAGGAGAAGGGCACGAAGGAGATGCAGGAGGAGGAGGTCCAATACACGAAGTTCAAGCAGTTCTGCGACATGACGCTGGCGGAGAAGGAGGCGGCCATCGGTGAAGCGGCCGACAAGATCGAGACCCTCGAGGCAGACATCGAGAAGGCGGCATCGGAGGCGGAGCGCCTGGGCAAGGAGATGTCGGAGCATCAGACGGACATCGAGGCCGCGACGGCGGAGAAGGAGAAGGCCACGGGCGTCCGTGAGAAGGGCCGCACGGACTTCCAGCTGACCCTGAAGGATTACGGCGAGTCCATCGATGCCATCGCCCGTGCATTGAAGGCTTTGAAGGAGGAGGACAAGAAGACAGCCCTGCTTCAGCTGGCGGATGCCAAGCTCCTCCCCGAGGAGGCACGGCAGAGTCTGCTGGACATACAGGGTCCGGCGCCGAAGACCTACGAGTTCCAGTCCGGGGGCGTCATTAGCATGCTCGAGGGCCTTCAGGATAAGTTTGTCGACGAGCGCATCAGCCTGGAGAAAGAAGAGCAGAAGAAGCGCCATGCCTTCGAGATGCTGGTCCAGAGCCTGGAGGCGCAACTGGCACAGTCCAAGAAGGAGCAGGAGGAGAAGGGCCAGTTCAAGGCCAAGCAGCTACAGAGCAAGGCCTCATCCGAGGGCGACTTGGGTGAGACTAAGGTCGAGAAGCAGTCTGACGAGAAGTACTCCACAGACCTCAAGGCCACCTGCAGCAAGAAGGCCGCGGCCTTTGCGGCGCGCCAGAAGCTGCGACAAGAGGAGATTGAGGCGATCGAGAAAGCCAAAGGCATCATCGCCGGCGGGGCAGTGGCTGGCAGTGCAGAGAAGCACCTGCCCAGCCTGTTGCAAGCCAGTCCAAAAAGGACGGCTTTGGCATTCCTGCGCTCGGAGGTGCGGGAGCCGCAGAGCGAGAGCTCTAGGGTGGCGCGATTCCTGCAGCAGCGGGCTGCGGCTTTGAACAGCCGCGTGCTCTCCGCCGTGGCCGGTCGGGCGGCCGCGGATCCCATTGCCAAGGTGCGAACGATGATCGAGCAGCTGATCACGAAGATGCAGACACAGCAAAACGAGGAGGCCAGCAAGAATGGCTGGTGCAATGCCGAGCTGGCATCCAACAAGGCCACCCGTGAGGAGAAGACCGACGCCGTGGACGAGCTCTCTTCGGATGCAGACGAGCTTTCCACGGCCATCGGCAAGCTCGGCGAGGAGGTCTCGGCATTGGCCAAGCAGGTTTCAGAGTTAGAAGCTGACATGGCCAAAGCCACGCAGATGCGGGAGGAGGAGAGTGCCAAGAATGCTGCCACAGTGAAGGATGCCAAGGAGGCGCAGGCGGCCGTGGCCCAAGCGCTGCTCGTACTCCGAGACTTCTACAAGAAAGCCGCCGGCGCCAGCTCCTTGCTGCAGACGCGGCACGGGGAGGCGCGGGCCGAGCCGGAAGTCTTCGGCGACGAGCCCTACACCGGCATGGGCGGCGAGAGCGGCGGTGTGATCTCCATGTTGGAGGTGATCCAAAGCGACTTCGCACAGCTGCAGGCAGAGACGGAGGCCGCCGAGGAGTCTGGGCTCAAGGAGTACCAGGAATTCATGGAAGACTCCAAGGTTGACAAAGCCACCAAAGTTCGAACGTCGGAGCACAAGACCAGCAAGAAGCAGGCCAAGACGCAGGAGCTCACTGCAGTTCGGGCGGACTTGCAGGGCACGCAGAAGGAGCTGGACGCCGCAAAGGCCTACTTCGAGAAGCTGAGGCCCGACTGCCTTGACACCGGCGCCTCCTACGCGGAGCGCCAGGCACAGCGGAAACAGGAGGCGCGCACGTCGCCTGCATTCGCCTGCTCGCTTCGTCGCCTGCGTGTTTTTCCGCGAGATTTCCTGTTTTGTGTGGGTCCTTCGCCCGGTGCCGCGCAGGTGGCGGACCTCCAGGAGGCCCTCGAGATGCTCGAGAAAGTCTGAGAGCATTCTCCGTTCTTTTCAGTGCAGTGCTCGGTGAAAATCCAAAAGAAATCACTGCAGCATCACAGCGCGATGGAGACGTGCTGACAACAGCTTGCTGCCGGCTTGTGAGAAGCATGTCCGAGTTGGAAATGCAACCGTGACTGTCGTGGAGCGGCTGCAGCAACAGTGGGCTCATCCGTCTAGTCGGCAGCTCAGGTTCCCAGCGTGAATTGTTTTAAATTTAAAGCAATTCTTGTGGCGAGGCACTGCGGTCACATCTGTGACACGAACAATGCAAAATCGTTCAGATTCCTGTGCTTGGGAATTGCTCGCATGCTCACCACAAAATGAGACATGAAGTCACCGCCCGTGCCTTCTGCAGCATGTGTTTGGCTTTCGGCCGAATATGCCGCACGGCCGCGCGATCGCTGGCGATTTTGATCCTGATCAGCATGCAGGATGACTGTCTGACGGTGGGCAGACTGTGTACATCAGAGCAGCACGGTAGGCATCGGCTGCAGAACGGCAGCATTGTGCTGCTGATACGGGGAAGGTTGCCAGAATTGCAGCAGTGGCCGAACGTCAGGAGCTTCCGGGCACGACCTTCGCACAAGTTCCACGTTTGATCAGCCTCGTTCGGGCCGTGGTTTGCCTTGCTTTCGGTTTCGGGTAGCTGCATCCATTTCCACCAGAAGACCATCCGGGCCCAGGACAGCACTGGCACGCTGATGCGGGTGCGAAGACCCATCGGAGACCTGTATGCAGATGCCTTGCACCGGGTCAGACCCGATGTCCAGGCCTCGAGGGAGTCGCATGTTTCAGTGCGAAGCTGCAGAGCCACTCGCGGCAAATGGCAGGTTTCTGCTCGAGAGATGACTCGAGTCTTCCCTGCCGCATTCTCTCGCCAGTCAACACTGTCTCCCGGCTTCGGGGCCGGTGGTTGCGGCTGTCGCGACTGGTGGTACTCCGTCTGCAAGGAAGCTCTCGCGGATTTGGGTTCTGCGAGCCTTGAAAGGCGGGCTGTCGTGGAAGGCACCATGGGAGGCTGTCGGCTCAGCGGAGCATCCGAGCGGAGTGTCCGAGCACAGTGGGAGTGCGAAGCCATGAGCCGAGCTTGAGGGGCTGGCATCGCGGTCTCCGACCTCGGCGAATCCTTTGAAGCCGTTTTTGACGATCTTTACGGACATGTCTTCTGTGGACAGGACACGAACGGGGCACTGTGCAAATAGCCATGGTATGTTTCTTAGTTTTTTAAACGGCTGCCTGATCTCACTTGCCTGGCGAATTGTGGTTGCACCGGATCCTTCGAGCCGTCGCGCTCGAAGGCTTTTCTGTGTGGTGGTGCGGCAGAATGCAGCTTTTTGTTTTGAGGTGTGGCTTAGGCTCAGCCTCTTCTTGTGTACGCCTTGGACCGGCTCAGGAGGCATGGGAGCTCCTGCCAGGCACTGTCACATCGCTGGAGCACCGGACCTGCAAGAGACGCGTCCTCTTCGGAGACACGGCACTTTGTTTGCTTTCCCCTAGTGCCCAAGGAATCCCTTCGTCGATGGTGTGCTGCGAACGACTGCCGGCTTGGTGTGATGTCGAATATGGATGACAGGCACCAGCAAGTCATGATTGCCTCCGAGTGGAAGACCTCCTGCCCCTTGCAGGCTGGCCGTAGGCCAAGAGCTCGGTAAGTCAGTCAGCAAGGACCTCAATCATTTAAGGTGCAGGGAACAGGCACACACAACGTGAGTACACCACGGTCTGGGGACTGCGGAGCAGAACTCGTGGGGCACAGCTTGGGACTCCCATGCTCCAATCGGCTGGATCAAGCTTGTGCACTGTCCTCGTTCCGAACCGTGACTGTTCAGTAGCACAAGCCCCAACCGTATCCTATGCAAGCAGCTCGGATCGGCTCTAGGTAAACCGACGCAGGCTCTCCGTCATTCTTCAGAATCTGGGAATCTTGGACAAGTTTGACTTCGTGCTGACATCATACGAAGCCCGAGCAGTACTCCCGGCTGAATTTCGGATGTGGACTTGAGTGTACTTGATTGTGCGGTTCTCGCAGACGAGTCTGGCTGGCCTGCCAGGAAAAGCCATCGCCCATCATCTTCAGGAAGGTGGCAGTTTTTGCAAACGCGTACGGTAAGAATCAGCAAGGGCTTCGGTGGGAAAGCGAGTTTTGGAAAATGATGAAAGGTCGCGGGCGAGACCTGCAAATGCCAATAACTGCCACATGTGGTATGCGATGCAGCCGGGACTAGGAGCAAACTACGCAATGAGCTGCCTAACATGTTTCACCAGCCCTAGCTGAAGAGCTTTGTAGGATAGATTTTCACAGTCATACCACACGAAGGCATTCCATTTATGTGCTGATGCACAGTGGAACACCGAGTTGGCTTAGCGCTGGCACCTTCTGCGTGAATCTATGTGGTGTTTAGATCAGGTGCTCCACATTTTCATCATTTACTGCATGTTCAGCACGAACCCTTCAGGAGGATGGTGTGGTGTTGAGCCCTTGTGCGATCTGTGCATGTGGCCGATTGTGCTTGCACAGAGTATCCACAAAGCTCTGTGCGTGTCATCCTTGTAACGAAGGGCTAGGTAAAGCTGCTGTTGACTATGTTGATAATGCAGGAGGTATGGCACTTGTGCTCTTAGCCATGCCAACGAAGCTATAGAGCACAGGTGGAAGGGAATGTAGACGTACATTCCTGTACCTGCAGAGTTGCACCTGGATCCACTGACTGGATAGCTGGTGGACTCGATGTCTTGAGTGATTGCACATGTCGGTTGCAAGTGACATGTTGTCCGTTCTCAGATCAGCTTGAGATCCTTAGCCGAGAAAGATAACACAGAAGATTCAGCACATTAACGCAGCTCGGCATAAGTAAAGATCAGGAGAAGAGCCACTCCCGACTCACATCTAGACCAAGAGGTCTACTGCAAGTGTGTGTGTGTGTGTGTCTCCGTGTTTGACTCTCCCGTGCTCTATCGCTTTCCCTGGCTCTCGCTCGCTCTTTTCTTTCTGTTTCTCTTTCTCTGTCTCTCTCTCTCTCTCTCACTCTCTCTCTCTCTCGCTCTCGCTCCCTCTGTGTCAAAGCTTTGTTGCAGGCACTGGAAATTGCCGGTCTTGCGCCGTCGTCACATGCACTGCACTGTGGAGACAGCTACAAGGCAGTTCGAAGACACATGACTGTGCAGAGCTGAGTGCCTGACAACATACATGCTTCCCCCTGAAGCGCGACTTGATGGGAGCTACTTCTATGAAGTGGATGGCGGTCTTGGTGGATGAAGCTGTTACCAAGGCTCGAAGATGAAATGGACCTTGATGATCCGATTCTTGTTGTGAGTCCGTGTTTTTTTGCCTCAGGCAGAGTGGCTTGATGTGATCAAGGCACGGCTGATGGATGCTACCTCGCGCCGTCACAGCTGCGAATACGAAGCATGAATCATTGGCAGGATGTTTCGGGCGAGGGCGGCGTTGAAGTGCCTTCTCCTGGAGCATGGCGAGTTCCCCACATTGGCCATATCGAAGGCTGGTTTGCTTCTTTCGCAGGACATCCCCGAGTCACCATGTGTGAAGGCTTGTTATCTGGCTGAGCTGGCCAACGCCGGCTGACCCAGCGCAGGTAGCCTTGAACCGTAGTTAAAAGGCGCTGCTCCGCACGGTTGCACTTCGTTGTTCCGTGTCTCATTACTTGTCTCGGTGCATTTGCGGCCATTGAGTGGGAGTGTGAGTTGATACTTTCAGACTTCCTTTCGCCCACAATGCAGCGCCTTCTCCTTGTGGTGGCAGCATCTGCTGCGTTGGCGCCAGAGACTCAGAGCTGGAACAGCACTTGCCGATGCCGAAGATTTCGATACTGGCTTTCTGTTCGCAAGGTCAGATGTCACCCCCGTCCAGAAGGTAATCCAAATGCTGGAGGACATGAAGGACAAGGGGAAGAAGGAGATGGAAGCCGAACAGGTCCAGTTCGGAAAGTTTGACCAGTTCTGCGAGATGACGTTGGCGGACAAGGGCCGTTCCATCAGCGACGCGGCTGACAAAATCGAGACGCTGGAAGCTGACATTCAGCAGGCGATTTCTGAGACGGAGCGTTTGACGAACGAGATCGCTGCCCATGCAAGTGACATCGAGTCTACAACGACTGAGAAGACCGAGGCAACGGAGCTTCGCGAGAAGGAGCGGGGTGAGTTCCAAACCACACTGCAGGACTACACGGAGTCGATCGATGCTATCGGTCGTGCCTTGAAGGCTCTCAAGGAAGAGGACAAGAAGACTTCCTTTGTGCAACTGACTGCCGCCAAAAGCCTGAAGCTGATGCCAAGTGAGGCTGTGGACAGCATTGATGCGTATTTGAACGCGAACAAGCCCAAGCCCGTCGAGAAGCCGAGCCTCATCATGGAGGGATCCGACTCCGAGAAGCCCGAGCCGAAGACCTACGAGTTCCAGTCAGGTGCGGCAATCCAAATGCTGGAAACACTCGCGGACAAGTTCGTCGACGAGCGCAACAAGCTGGAGCAGGAGGAGCAGGCATCAAGGGCCGAGGGTGATACTGCTGCTGCAGGCTGCACATGTTACAACCTTTTGTTTCCATGTCTGCGCCTCACCTGAGAAGCGTGCACTGGGTGGATGTGTGGAGAGCGTCGGGAGGGGATCTTGTCCCGTGTTTTGAGGCCAAGCGGCACGCCTATGAGCTTCTGGCACAGCAGCTGACGGTTCAGATCAGTGAGTCGAAGAAGGAAAAGAGCAGCAAGGAGCAGTTCAAGGCCAAGAAGGTGCAGAGCAAGGCGTCCTCAGAGGGTGATCTGGCAGAGACCAAGGCCGAGAAGGAAGCCGACGAGAAGTTTGCCAAGGATCTGAAAGCGACCTGCGCAAAGAAGGCGGCGGCTTTTGCCGAGCGCCAGAAGACACGGCAGGAGGAGATTGAGGCCGTCGGCAAGGCACAGGAAATCATCTCCAGTGGCTCCGTGGCCGGCAAGGCAGAGAAGCATCTGCCCGGGCTTTTGCAGCATCCACGCGGCTCCGTGCTGGCCTTTCTCCGGTCTGAGAGTCACGGCCCTGGCGGAGATCGGAAGGACCAGGTGGCTCGATTTTTGCAGCAGCGGGCTTCTACCCTGAACAGCCGCATGCTCTCGGCCCTGGCAGTGCGTGTGGGCGCCGACCCGCTTGGCAAGGTGAAGAAGATGATCCAGCAACTCCTCACCAAGTTGAACGAGCAAGCCAAGGAAGAGGCAACCAAGAACACCTGGTGTGTCACAGAACTTGCGACCAACAAGGCCACTCGCGAGGAGAAGACGGACACTTCCGAGTCTTTGCAGTCAGAGATTGACACATTGAAGGCTTCCATTGCAAAGCTCACGGATGAAAGCAACACGCTCAGCAAAGACATTGCCGAGCTGGATGCGGCCATGACAAGTGCAACGGAGCTTCGTGAGAAGGAGGCGGCCAAGAACAAGATCGCTGTCGCAGATGCCAAGGAAGCACAGGCCGCTGTGGCCGAGGCTCTCACAGTTCTCAAGGAGTTCTACGCCAAGGCCACTGGTGCGACATCCTTTGTCCAATCCAGCTCAGCCACCCTTGTCACACATGGCAAGCCGGAGATCTTCGGCGACGAGGCCTACACAGGCATGGGCGGCGAAAGCGGCGGTGTGCTGGGCATGATGGAGGTGATCGAGAGTGATTTCGCGCGCCTCGAGGCAGAGACGACGGCGGCCGAGGAGGCAGGCAAGAAGGAGTACGAAGAGTTCATTGACGATTCCAAAGCTGACAAGGCCACCAAGGAGACGACACTGAAGCAGAAGACCACAAAAAAGAACACGGATGCACAGGAACTGAGCACCCGCGAGAGTGATCTGGAGGGAACCCAAAAGGAGCTGGAAGCCGCCAAGGCCTACCTGGAGAAGCTGCGACCCGACTGCATCGACACGGGAAAGTCCTACGCCGAGCGCAAGGCCCAGCGTGACCAGGAGCTCGCGGACCTCAAGGAGGCCGTCGAGATGCTCGAGAACCTGTGACTTGATCGCGACTGACGATCGATGCGAGGAGACAAGAAAAGGATAATGTGTGCGCTTGGGCCGCTAGGGCTAGAGCGGCTAGTGGTGGTTGCGCGAGCAGGCGCTAAAGTCTTCTTGGACGCTCTCTTCAGCGCGGCTTCGGCCCAGGGCGGGAGTGCCTTGGGGGGGTCCCGGGGCGCGCGGCGCGGGGCACGGGCAAGGCGCCGAGCCGAATCGTCGAATCGTGTTCTCTGCTTGAGAGCGCCGGCGACCGCCGGAGCTCAGAGCCGTTTTGCCAGGCGAAGGCGAGATGCAACAGTCGGGGTGCCTCGGTTGCATGCGCCACTCATGGCTCGCCTTGCAGCATGGACTGCGTATCAGGCACGTCCCTGGCTTGACGGACTGCCGGCATAGAATACTTGCCTGCTGTGCTGGTGCTTGTTTAGCTGTTTGTTGCAGGACCGGCGATACGAGGGTGTTATTGCAACATACCGGGCCGACAAAGGCTTCGGATTTATCAGGCGGGGCCTACGGCACACCATATCAGCATAAATCTGGTCGTACTGACAAGGATCAAATCGTCAGCAACTGGGGAATGGTCCTTGCACAGGTGCTCGGAGCTGCGGCAAAAGTTCCCAGAGAAGGACGGGTTTTGTAGAGGCCCATTCGTTTGGATTGGCCAGCATTTACGGCTGCCCGTGCGAGCCCATGTGTAATGGCACGAAGCGGAGGAAAGGTAGACGAATTCTAGATTTTGCAAGCCTTATTGTGGCTAACTGTGCCCAGGTACGTGATTGCGACCCTGAAGCACTAGACCCCGGTTGTGAATGCCCCTGGCCTGTTTGCTGCTTTGGAACTGGCCTGCAGCTGGAGGACGTGTTCCTGCACGGGAAGCAGCTGGGCGCCTTCAAGGAGGGCGACGCCGTCTCCTTCGCGGTGCCGCGAGCTTTCCTGCTTCGTGTTTCTCAGAGACAGTAGCTGAGTAGCTCTTAAGCTTCGGATCGAAGGGGGTGGCGCCCGAGAGAAGTTGATGAGACATGATCATTCTCCAGCAATGTCTGATTTTTGGAGTCTGTTTCTGCAGAGGCTACATGCCTGGCTCGGGTTGCAGTTTGCAGGATCACAGGTTCAGTAGTGCACAGCAACACCGATCTGAAGCCTGGGACGGGCAGCCTGTGGCAGATATTTCTCAACAGAGACGGCAAGCCGCAGGCCACGGAGTTCTAACCTCAGCGTCTTTCGCTTTTTGGGCACATGCTGGTCTCTGGAAGTAGAGCTTGTTTGTTGCACTCGAAGAGTAGTTCGATGTGATGTCTTGCCTGGCTGAGTTTGACCTACTTAAACGGCGACGGCATGCAGCAGCAGCAGCAACAGCAGCAGCAGCATCAGCAAGGCATGCTGCAGGGAATGCAGCATCAGGGCATGCAGATGCATCAGGGAATGCACCCTGGCATGCCTTGCATGGGCCGCGGGCTCAGTGTCAGTTGCTCCGTCACGTGTTTGTCGTCGTGTGGACAGTTGCAGGCCATCCGGCTCAAGCGCGGGCCTCGTGGTTTGAAGTTTGAAGAGGAAGTAACAAACATAGCGAATGATGCTTGCATGAGCCAAGAATACCAAGGCAGGTAGCATGATGGCTCAGATGCCGCCGCCGCCTCATCAGGCAAGGCCAGCTGATGCAAGTTTGATTGCAGACCGAGATACAGGGCAGTGGAGATGACAGAAACAGCTGTAGACACATCAGATCTTGCTTTCGTGCAGTCCCGTTACAGGACAAGGTCCAGTCGTCTAGCAAGTGCACGAAGAGTAACGTGTCAATCGAGTCTGGAAGTGGAGCCTCCATCTTGCAGCCTGAGAGAGCCGGCCGGGAGCTCCCGGGTCGCAAGGCAATGCCTGACGAGGACGTGCAGGAGGTGGAGGCCACATGGGTCGCGGATCTACACATAATACAGCAACGCAGTGTACATTGCAGAGACATCGACCCCCCAAGGAAGTGATGTACGTACATAACTGCACACATACATGCATACAAAAATACATGCATGCATGCGTGCATGCATGTATGTATGCATACTTACATCCAAACATAGACTGCATGCATACATCTTTTGTAGTAGTGTTTAGGGTGCAGTCGGATGCACGCCTTTGAAATGAATTCAACCTGGATCTAATTCAGGGGCAGAGGCTGCCTTGTGTCCTGTTTGCGCTGACAACGCCGTGCAGCAATCAGGAACACCTCGAAATAACCGTAACCGAGCCAGGCCCCCGGCACCATGTTATCAAGCGAAAGAGAAGTCAGCCCCGAGACGAATGAATCACCACGAACGTCTAAGAGAGCTGACCTCGAAAGCTAAGAGGTCTCGAAGGCACCATGATCTACCACCAGTGCCTAAAGGACATCCGACAAAAGAACGTCAGCGAATTTGCAAAAGGCTGCATGACCGAGCTGGGGAAGCTGAAACATCGTGGCGTGGCCATCCCCTCCAACTGCCCGAGAAGATGAAGCATTGCTGATAGGGCGCAACGCTCGTCGTGTCCTGCATTTGCCGAGAAACGCATGCCAGCGTGGAGGTGTAACGAACCCCGAATTTGAAATGTTTTGGGTGCATATCTGAGTCTCACAACAACAGCAAACTCACGGGGTATTTGCAGCGGTTTTCGAAGGGTTGTTTAAATTTCAATAAAAAGGTAGTGTAGACTATGCGGGGTGGGTGAGGGGGTGACCGTCTATATGTACATGCGTGTGTGTGTATATATATATATATATAGCCAGCATATATATATATATAGCCAGCATATATATATATATATACATACACATATTTATATGTGTATACATACATGTGTATATATATATATATATATATATATATATATATGGTCACCCCCCCCCCCAAGATCTACATCCGCCTCTTCCACACAATTCCACAGGTTGCTTCTCTACATTGGTCGACTACTCATATATGCCGAAAACACCGTAAATTCCGATACAATTGTGCTTTACTCCATGTGCATGCAAACAGTACTGCTACAAGTCGCGGGTTTGACATGTGTAAAAGTCTGGCGCCGAATCTCGGCAGCAGATTTATGGTAGTTTACATGTTGGAGAAGCTGAAATGCTGGAGGGCGTGCTTTTTTTGTTCAGGTAGTACTAAAAAACATCGTGTTTTTTGCGTTTTATGGTGTGTTATTTAACGACATTCCTCTAATAATAAAAATACTATTGTCTTTCTTACGAGAACGTCTGTGTGCGTGGGCCATCTCTTTCCCGCTGCTCGTGAGCGTCCGATTCTGATGCGGCCTAATAGCTCTAGCATTTGATTTATGAGTTACGAAACACAAAGAGCTCCTTTCATGTCTTGTCCGTTATATACGGAGGAAGTCGAATATACGGGCGCATTTATTTTTGAAGCAATACTCCAATAGTTGTTCTTTGCCTCATAAAAAATGGGAAAGCTCCCCTGGAGTTGGAAAGTTCATGTGCATATGCGGGCGCACAAGAAGGCTCGTCTGCAGCAAGAAGTAAGAGAGCTCTTGCAACCTTCCAAACATGGAGCAGGACTAATTACGACTGGCTGCATTGATACGTATCAATCACAAGGCAGGGGCTCCTTAACCTTGTAAAACAAAGTAAAATGGCACTTCATGGAAGAAAACTCCTCTTTATGTTGTGAGCCGATATTAACGACAGCCATGTGCATAGCAATCGTTATCTATTTTTGAGGGTACTCATTTGGGCCATGAGTTTTCATTCGGTTAACTCTTATTAATGATGCTGTCCTATACCCCGGAGAAGATGCCGATCGCTATGTCCATGGCTGTTTCTCTAATTGCTGTCATAGAACGTAGCGGAAAAAGTAGCTCTCTTCAATCTTCAAGCGACACTCCCCAGATGTGATCAAGAAACAAAGGGAAGCTTGCTTACTGGTATCTTTTATTAAACGGGCAAGAGGCATAAGACTTGTATCGGTTTCTACACCTCCCTCACATCCTGACAAAGCGATACCGGTCCTTCTGTATGTGACTGTGGTTTAAACGCTGTCATAGTTCGTATCACAACATGAAAAAGAGCTCTCTTCAGTCTTCAAAGACTACAGGTGACATCGTAGAATTCTCTTCTGGGTTAGCAGGAATCTTCATGTCTCTTGCTTGATAGGTATGAGGATGTCTCATAGGAAACCGAATAGGAAGTCTCCATTGTTTCTGATGATAGCAAGATGCAAACAGTTTCCCACAGTCTGGATCTGTAGGCGGTGCAGCTTGCCGAAGAATGGCCAAAACCATTTTCGAGAAAGCTCAAGTGCTGGAGCCAGTGCTGCTGGTGCCATAGATCTACCAACCAACGAAAACATATATGAAATAAACTATGCAACGACTAGGCCTTTTTCATAGTTACCTAACAAGAGCAATGAAAACCGTTGTTGTTCCAGAAGACACATAAATCATTACTTCCAGTCCTTGACAACGGTTGAAAGCACACAATTATCTTGTGATGCAATATATCCTGTCCTGGACATCAGAAAACACTGTGATGCTCAAAAAACTTCCAAAATTTCCAGCCCTGAAACTCACGAAACACTGTACTGCTCAAAAAAATCCCAAAATTCTGGCATCTATGGCTAGGCCGGGGGCAGATTCCTTAAAAGTTTGGAATTTTTTGAGCATAGCAGTGTTTCGTGCGTTTCAAGGGTTGGAAAAGTTGATTGTTTTGAGCATTACATGTTTTGTGCGGTTGAGCCGCACCTCGTCCGGGTGGATTTCCATGGCTTCGTGTGCGGCAAGATTTCAATAGGCTTGGAGTCACACTTGATTGTGCACAGGTGCGCACTTATCACATATCGCATGTCTCTCTTCACTAGACCCTCTCATAAACACTCACTGGCTCAAGATTTCGGCTGTGGGAGAACGAGACGGACCAGGCGGTTTGGGTTTTAGGACCAGCATCACCAAGTTTGGGGGCGGACAAGACACGCGCATCATGAGCATCAGCGGTGCTGCTTGGCAGTGCAATAACTGGAGCCGCTACCCATGACCTCGTTGTTGAGTGGTGCATTAAGCAAATTCATTTCTTTTTGACCATGATCAATCTCAAAGACCATTTCTAACCAGGCGGTTTTGGTTTTAGGACCAGCCCCGAAGCCGACTGATGCTCATGAGGCCACGGCTGATGCTCATGTTTCTACACGTCCTCGAGTTTCCAGATTCCAGATTTGCAGGATAAGTTCCAGATTCCAGATTTCCAGATTTGCAGGCTCTACGTTTTCAGATTCCAGATTCCAGATTTCCAGATTTGCAGGCTCTAAGTTTCCAGATTCCAGATTTTCAGATTTGCAGGCTCTAGGTTTTAGATTCCAGATTCCAGATTTCCAGATTTGCAGGCTCTAAGTTTCCAGATTCCAGATTTCCAGATTTGCAGGCTCTAGGTTTGCAGATTCCAGATTCCAGATTTCCAGATTTGCAGGCTCTAAGTTTCCAGATTCCAGATTTGCAGGCTCTAGGTTTCCAGATTGCAGATTTCCAGATTTGCAGGTGTAAGTTTCCAGATTCCGGATTCCAGATTTCCAGATTTGCAGGCTCTAAGTTTCCAGATTTCAGATTCCAGATTTCTGGAAATCTGGAAACCTTAGGGTGAGCAAATCTGGAAATCTGGAATCTGGAATCTCTGGAAACATAGTGCCTGCAAATCTGGAAATCTGGAATCTGGAAACCTAGAGCCTGCAAATCTGGAAATCTGGAATCTGGAAACTTAGAGCCTGCAAATCTGGAAATCTGGAATCTGGAATCTGGAAACTTAGAGCCTGCAAATCTGGAAATCTGGAAACCTACGTACTGCAGAAAGCCGGAAATCAGGAAATCCAGACTCCGAAAACCTGCAGACGCAGATCTTGGGGGGGGGGGGCGAGCATATATATATTTATATATATATAGATATCTACCTGCAACCCTCCCTGACAGACCACCTCCTTGAACGTATCGCTCCCACCGCGATTCAGTCCTCGACCTGACCGTGTCGTTATGTCTTGCCAGAGTTGAGGTCCTTGGTGCAGGCTACACTGTCGCACCTTTCGCCTGCGCCTCTTAACACCATGCACATTCGATGTTTGCACTCCTGACGTTCGGTCCAGGGTGTTGAGAACCATGGCTGGGCCTGTAGGGTCCTTCTCTGAATGTTGTTTCTTGCATCTGTATGTCGTGTGTAATTACTTCGCTTGCCTCTCACTAGTACGTAATCGCTCCGAATTTTCTGATCATCTACGCTGATTCTGCGCTTCCTTGTTAGATTTGCCGCGACTGGGCAGGTTCCTAAAGAGTTCGTCGCGAAGCTGACGAGCGAGGGAGGCTCGACCACTCGACCGTGAAGCCACGTTGGTTTGCGAGCTACAGCATGTCCCGCGCCGCCCTCGCAGGAAGACTTCACGAGCTGAAACACATGGCTGGTTCGGATATCACCATCACCTTTCAGGTGCGGCCAGTTGGCCACCCTACCGTACCATCAGAGTTTCTTCACTGCACTACCGTTTTGACCAGACTCGACCTGAGCTGGTCAACAAAGCGGTGGCCATCATCCGGGGTCCAAAGGTGCGGTCCCGTTACTCGCCTCTCTTTCCGGAGCATCTTGAAGTATCGGCTCTCCTCTGTCAGGTTAGCGCAAGCCTTGGGGCCATTCTTCTGATGCAGGAACTCAGCGAGCTGATTCAAATACCAGTTTGCCGCTTGACGTGAAACCTCCGCAATGAGATGCCTTGCTTGTCAGACGCATACGGGTTGAGAAGCTAAGGACTCGAGCTTGCTGCTCCCTGCATGCAGAACTAGGAACGCGTCCAAGTAGTTGTCTTAACGTCTCATGGACTTGTAAGACAGTCGCACGGCAACATAGGGCATGGTGTGTCTTTTTCCATCCCAGATGTTTGCTTCACGTTTGTAGTGTCTGCCCATTTTGATCTGGGGCATTTAGCCAAGAAATTGCGATAATGTCACCTCGTTCGCCCGCTGGTCGTAGTGGATGTCTCGGCATTGGGAGCTGGAGAAAGTCCTGCTGATACCTGAACATCACTGCTACATGATATCCATGACCAGTAACATCTGATGTGAGCAACACCAAAGGGGGGGCCGTCAGCCCAACCCGCGCATGAAAGCTTGCCGACCCGTCCGTTGCGGTTAGCATTGCTGACGGAAGCCGGAGGATAAGATCCCGTCAAAAAAGTTTGCGCCTTCGTTGATTTTGCACGCCCCCAGGAAGGGAGCACATACGAATCACCAGGTCCGTGGCTCTTCCTCAGCGCGAACCAGAATGCAATAGCCTCGTCGAAGGCACGAATCATCGAACAAATACTGGGTGCACAGCAAGCATGTTTCAGCCAGACCTTGAACAAACTTTCATGTACACAGTTCATCATCGAGTGAGTCAGTTGTTCAACTCAGAGCGATAGACAGCAATGGGCGATGGCAGAGGCCGGCCGTAGACAGGGAGCCGCAGGTACGTGCTGAAATTGTTGTACGCTGTTGATTCTCCATGCGCGGAACCTGAAGCAGTCTTCATGCCTTGAGCCCTGGACAAGACGAATCGCTAGAATGGATGAGGTCTCCTTTGAAGCTGCACGAGCCGCAAGTGTTGGCGGGCAGCCTCCCCAGCCGAGAGAAGTTCCCGGAAAATTGCCTTTGGTATTGCTGCGGCAAGAGCTTGCAGAAGCCACGTGTTCATGTCTCCAGGAAAAAGTTTTAGACAGTTTTGCCTCAGAAGGCCCTGCCCAGCGCAGCCGCCATGGAAGTGCTTGCGAGAGCTGCAAGAATACTAGGGGCACAGGCGTTGCATCCCAGGACCCCGCGTTGCCACATGTTCTCCTCGCCAAGACTGCTTAAAACAAAGCTTGCCAACGTGCAAACTTGGCATTCTAGTTAACAGATATCTTTCCCGAACATCTTCACCGCGCTAGTTTCGATCTGTTGGGGGGTGCGTATCAGCTGCAGAGCCCATCCACTTAAGTGTAGTGCACTTGCGACTGTTGGTTAGCCTCAACCAACACCATCCCATCTCTCATGTTGGTACAGGGCCATGGAGCTTCGGCATCCGGAAGTCACTTTCGAGGTTGTCAGTCGCAGCTTGTGAATGTTTTCCAGGCTAGCTGCTAGCTGCTACTCAAACTTCGTTGCTCTGGATGACGAGCAGTCTGCAGAGCCCATACAATGTAGCTCTCACTTGGTTGTTGCCTGCCCATAAAGCTAAACATGCGGGACATTGATCGAGCATGATCAGGACCAACAGTGTCCGGCGTTTCTCCGAGTCAGCCAAGTACGTGAGCCCGATCTCCAGAGTAAAATGGAATCGGCAACTTGCATGAACCGTGATGCCATGATGATGGAATCCTGCTTCTCTTGTTGCTGTCTGGCGGAGCCGTAGTAACCACGGCGTAGTTGCAGCGCTCAGGTTGAAAATGAGGATGCAATCACGGAATGGAGAGGCAGGAGAAGAGGATGTGTTGTTCAACCCACGTTCCACATCAGCGCAAGTTGGCCAGGTTGCAGAGGAGGAGCCTGCGGAGCAATGCTCCTGCCCTGAGCAGCAGGCCGTGCTGGAAGAAATTAGAACTTGCAGGAACCTCGGCGCAGACTTTGACCGGCTTGCCCCAAAATGCAGTCAAGGCAAGGCCTGAGGCAGTGTCACCAGACGCATGCTCAAGAGCCAAGAGTACTCCACTCGCCGCACTGTCAACCCGGACGAACTATCTGATAAGTCTCAGGGAGTGGGACGTTGCAGCGGCTGCCTTTCGGCAGCTGTCTGCCCCGGAGCTCCCCGCGACTCGTCCCGACGGACTTCTTTGATTCTGGTGAGAGCACGTATGAAAGTTGAACATCGTGTCTCCTCTCGAAGCTTCAGGTTTGCAATGCAATGCTGAGACGGGCACAGCGGGCTGGACGACTGGAAGCGGCCTTTGATGTTTACGCAGACATGCGACGTCGCGGAGCACTGTCAGAAACTTGTGCAGAAGTTCAGTTCTGGTGTGAAGATGTGTGAAGACATGTCGAACCATCCAAAAGTCGTGAAGTACAGCGGGAGCGCTGTATAAGACAATACTTTCTGGGACGAGGGTGGTCTGGTTTTCTTATTTTGATAGCGGCTGGTTTTTCATGGGAATATTTAATCTGGGATGGGTCAGGGTAGTCTGGTTTTCTTAAGGCCGTTTTCTTATATAGCTGTGTCCAGGACCCAAGACCCCCAGATGAACAAGCGAAGACTTGCCCCAAACATCAAACCCAACAGGCCCAAGATCTCGAAATGAAGGCATAAATCTTCAAACACAGTCATAGTGCAGCACCGTATCCCGTTCTACAGTCGTTCAAACAGTTTTCCTCCAAACGAGTCTGTATCAGGCTCAATGGAGGCCCCAGGATCAGCCATCGTTCCAGAACCCCCCTAAATAAGAAAACGAAACTCTGGCATTTTCTTACTCTTCTTCGTTCCAGAACCCACCTAAATAAGAAAACGAGACTCTGGCATTTTCTTATTCTCCTTCGTTCCAGAACCCACCTGAATAAGAAAACGAGACTCTGGCATTTTCTTATTCTCCTTCGTTCCAGAACCCACCTAAATAAGAAAACGAGACTCTGGCATTTTCTTATTCTCCTTCGTTCCAGAACCCACCTAAATAAGAAAACGAGACTCTGGCATTTTCTTATCCTCCTTCGTTCCAGAACCCACCTAAATAAGAAAACGGGACTCTGGCATTTTCTTATTCTCCTTCGTTCCAGAACCCACCTAAATAAGAAAACGAGAGTCTGGCATTTTCTTATTCTCCTTCGTTCCAGAACCCACCTGAATAAGAAAACGAGACTCTGGCATTTTCTTATTCCCCTTCGTTCCAGAACCCACCTAAATAAGAAAACGAGACTCTGGCATTTTCTTATTCTCCTTCGTTCCAAAACCCACCTACTCGTAAATAAGAAAACGAGACTCTGGCATTTTCTTATTCTCCTTCGTTCCAGAACCCACCTAAATAAGAAAACGAGACTCTGGCATTTTCTTATTCTCCTTCGTTCCAGAACCCACCTGCATAAGAAAACGAGACTCTGGCATTTTCTTATTCTCCTTCGATCCAGAACCCACCTAAATAAGAAAACGAGAGTCTGGCATTTTCTTATTCTCCTTCGTTCCAGAACCCACCCCAATAAGAAAACGAGACTCTGGCATTTTCTTATCTTCCTTCGTTCCAGAACCCACCTAAATAAGAAAACGAGACTCTGGCATTTTCTTATTCTCCTTCGTTCCAGAACCCACCTAAATAAGAAAACTAGAAGACAATTGGCCCGAAAGCATCATCAGCGAAGAGTGTTGCGCTACGTCATAGAATCGAGTGTATAGGGTCATAGAGTCACCGAGTCAAAAGCACGGAGTCACAGAGTCGGAGTGTCACATACAGTCAAGAGTCGTACAAGTCATAGTTCATAGAGTCATGGAGAAATAGAGTCGAGTACATGTCAAGCACAAGTCATAGTTCAAAGAGTCATAGAGTCATATAGAGTCATAGAGTCACAGTGAGACAGAATCATAGAGTCATAGTGTTATAGAGTCATAGCGTCAGAGTGAGAAAGAGTCATATAGTCATGGAGTCATCTATGTACCACGCACTTGACTTGATGTAGTTCACTCTATGAACACTAATGTTCAGGTTTAGCGGGTTTAGGGTATAGTCCAACATGACGCAGAAGTCTTCCTTTCCTAGCTCCGGAACCTCACTATATAGACATCCCTGTTACTGTGGTTTCAACGTGACTCTATGACTCTATGCATGGTCACTTTATGTCGCAGCAGTAGTAGTAGTAGTTGTAGTTGTAGTTGTTGTTGTGGTACTAGTAGTAGTAGTAGTAGTAGTAGCAGTAGTAGCAGTAGCAGTAGTAGTGGTAGTAGTAGTGGTAGTAGTAGTAGTAGTAGTAGTAGTACTAGTAGTAATAGCAGTAGTAGTAGTAGTAGTAGTAGTAGTAGTAGTAGTAGTAGTAGTAGTAGTAGTAGTAGTAGTAGTAGTATTCTTTTGTAGTAGTGGTAGTAGTAGCAGTAGTAGTAGTAATAATAGTTGTAGTAGTGGTAGTGGTAGTAGTAGTACTAGTACTAGTTCGAACACTCGACAACGCCAATTTCTGTGAAGGGTTGCAAGGTTCACCTCAATGCACATCAAAAGTAATAACTTTACCTCGCGTTCGAACACTCGACAACGCCAATCTGTGTGAAGGGTTGCAAAATTCATTTCAATGCACATCAAAAATTGCAACTTTACTTCGCGTTCGAACACTCGACCACGCCAATCCCTGTGAAGGGTTGCAAAATTCATTTCAATGCACGTCAAAAATTGCAACTTTGCCTCGCGTTCGAACACTCGACCACGCCAATCCCTGTGAAGGGTTGCAAAATTCATTTCAATGCACATAAAAAATTGCAACTTTACCTCGCGTTCGAACACTCGACCAAGCCAATCCATGTGAAGGGTTGCAAAATTCATTTCAATGCACATCAAAAAATGCAACTTTACCTAGCGTTCGTGCATTCGACCATGCCAATCCCTGTGAAAGGTTGCAAAATGCCAATCCCTGTGAAGGGTTGCAAAATGCAGTTGAGCTGCGCCCAAACCCTGTGAAGGGTTGCGCGGCGTGCGCAAAATGTGTAACTTTACCTCGCGTTTGAACGCCCGAGGAGGCGAATCCATGTGAAGGGTTGCGCGGGCACCGCAACATGTGTAACTTTACCTCGCGTTTGAACGCCCGAGGAGGCGAATCCCTGTGAAGGGTTCACCCGCGCGCCTAAAATGTGTAACTTTACCTCGCGTTTGAACGCCCGAGAGTTCCAATCCCTGTGAAGGGTTGCGCGGTGCGCCTAAAATGTGTCACTTTACCTAGCGTTTGAACGCCCGAGGCAGCGAATCCCTGGGAAGGGTTGCGCCGGGCGCCTAAAATGTGTAACTTTACCTAGCGTTTGAACGCCCGAGGCAGCGAATCCCTGGGAAGGGTTGCGCGGGGCGCCTAAAATGTGTAACTTTACCTAGCGTTTGGGCGCTCGAGGAGGCGAATCCCTGGGAAGGGTTGCGCCGGGCCCCTAAAATGTGTAACTTTACCTAGCGTTTGGGCGCTCGAGGAGGCGAATCCTTGGGAAGGGTTGCATTCCCGATGGACGACGACGGTGCCACCCCTGGCTTTAGAAGAGAGATTAGATACCGAGATGTAGAGAGTAAGTCAGAGAGTAAGTCACAGAGTAAGTCATAAGTCAGAGAGTAAGTCAGAGAGTAAGTCACAGAGTAAGTCACAGAGTAAGTCAGAGAGTAAGTCAGAGAGTAAGTCAGAGAGAAAGTCACAGAGTAAGTCATAAGTCAGAGAGTAAGTCAGAGAGTAAGTCACAGAGTAAGTCACAGAGTAAGTCAAGAGTAAGTCACAGAGTAAGTCACAGAGTAAGTCACAGAGTAAGTCACAAAGTCATAGAGTAGTCAAGTGAGTAAGTCACAGAGTCCTCAAGTTCATAGAGTCATAGAGTAGTAAAGAGTAGTCAAGTTCGGTCTTAGAGCCATAGAGTCATAGGGTCATAGAGTCGTAGACTCAAGTGTCAAGTCATAAGGTCATGTGCTCGATTCTATGTTTGTCATCTATGTATCAAGTGTCAAGTCATAAGGTCATGTGCTCGATTCTATGTTTGTCATCTATGTACTTGTCTACCCGGCTCCGCACGGAAGAACCCTTCGCGACGCTTTCGGGAACGAGAGTCTGGCATTTTCTTATTCTCCTTCGTTCCAGAACCCACCTAAATAAGAAAACGAGACTCTGGCATTTTCTTATTCTCCTTCGTTCCAGAACCCACCTGAATAAGAAAACGAGACTCTGGCATTTTCTTATTCTCCTTCGTTCCAGAACCCACCTAAATAAGAGAACGAGATTCTGAAATGTTCTTATTCTCCTTTGTCCCAGAACCCAGCTAAAGACCACGAGTATGACATAAGGAACTAAGAAAATGAGACCCGCGGACGAGGGTACCATGGTTTTCTTATTTTAACAGTGCTTGGTATTTTATGTAGAACCCTATCAATCGCAAAATCCAGAGTCTCATTTTCTTAATCCAATGTTTTCTTAAGTAGTGCCGTCGCTGTAGGCGATCCAAGAGCTCGCCAGGCCACACCAGCATACCAGCCAGGGGCACACCAACAAGCACGGCATGGAATCAAGCAACTTAGCGAGCAAGGAAGGAAGCATGCAACCGAGCCAGCAAGCCAGCAGCGAGCGAGTGAACACATGCACAAGCCATCACAAGCCCAAACACAAACACACGCACACGCACACACCGACACACACTTGCACATGCATAACTCCATCCTGGCAGCTGCTCAGAAAACTCTCAGCACTCTCGGTATGTACCGTGCAGGTACAGTACACGCTGGTGGCCAAGCAGTGCTTCCCCCATCATACTACGGCTTCGTTGCGTCAGGTAGGTATGATTCGCCTGACAATCCTGCAGACTACTGCTGGGCTCACGAATCCTTTGCCGACAGCAGTGTCTCACGCACACTCGCGCACACACACACACAGAGACACACAAACACAAAAACAAACACAAACACAAACACAAACACACACACACACACAAACACAGACACAAACACAAACACACACACACACAACACAGACACACACACACACACAACACAGACACACACACACACACACACAAACAACACACACAATACGGACACACAACACGCACACGCACACGCAACACACACACACACACACACAACACACACACACACACAACACACAGACACACAGACACACAGACACACAGACACACAGACACACACACACACAACACACAGACACACAGACACACAGACACACAGACACACAGACACACAGACACACAGAAACACAGACACACAGACACACAGACACACAGACACACAGACACACAGACACACAGACACACAGACACACAGACACACAGACACACAGACACACAGACACACAGACACACAGACACACAGACACACAGACACACAGACACAGACACACAGACACACAGACACACAGACACACAGACACACAGACACACAGACACACAGACACACAGACACACAGACACACAGACACACAGACACACAGACACACAGACACACAGACACACAGACACACAGACACACAGACACACAGACGCACAGACGCACAGACCCACAGACACACCAGACACACAGACACACAGACACACAGACACACAGACACACAGACACACAGACACACAGACACACAGACACACAGACACACAGACACACCGACACACGGACACACAGACACACAGACACACAGACACACAGACACACAGACACACAGACACACAGACACAAAGACACACAGACACACAGACACACAGACACACAGACACACAGACACACAGACACACAGACACACAGACACACAGACACACAGACCCGACGCGCGACCGACACAGACAGACACAGACAGGACA